TGCCCTTTCTCTGATGAATACCATGAAAAAACTCCCATTTCACTGCCACACTTCCAGTTAAACTCTATRTCCTTGAGTATAAAATGCAAGTGAGGTCTCCCTTTACCTGTTTTGGCTGTGAATCTAGGCAGATGTCTAAGAGAATATAAACACTTTAATTATTCATCTTAGTTGAACATTTTAATTATCCATCTTAGTACACTCTTGCAAGGAGCTTTTGAAAACACTGATTTTTGCTGGCTTTTGATCAGATCCTTTGTTCCTCCTGTTTATCCACAAGAAACTCTGAAAAAGTGCTGAGTTCTGAAAGGACTTTTAAACTGTTAAAACTGCTAATTTAAATGCATGCATATTAAGTAAATCATTAAGATAAGTGGTTCGGTGGCAACCCCAACATTAAAGAAAATGAACTTCAGTTCACTGTCTGTCAAAAGGGAGGTCACTCCCATCTGAATGTGAGTGTTTAAAGGAAGAATAACAGGCACATTGAGATTCAGTGTGTTGGAATTTTGTTAGATAATCCAGACAATGGATAATACTGGGGCAAAAGCAGGCAAAACTGCAGTGAGACAGAACAGGCTTCTTGACAGAACAGGCTTCTTGACTTTGGTCTCTCCATTTGCATATTTCAATAAATTTTGTCTGTTTTGCTTAGTTCCTGCGCTTTCCCCCTCCACCTTGCACGAGTTTCACGTTGAATTTCTATTCTATTCAATTTTAAGAGAAACAGGAACTTAAAAATTTGCTGAAATAAATGGATTTGGTTCGTCCACTCTCCCTCACAATCATGACATTTTRCCTTTAAAGGAATTTGTAGGCTAGGATACTTTCACAGGTATGAAACTAGTCGTGGCAAGACATTTGGACAAAATCACAGAGCCACTTGTTGAAGGTATTTTATATAGCTGTAGTCAGCACATGTGCTACCATTAACAGCTTCTGCATGGGTGAATATCATTAATTTACCACTCACTGTAGTTTTAAAGGAGGTTCTTAGGAGGTTTCTGAAAGGTGGAGGAAGCCAGTGTACAACATGATGGGTCTGTGTGAATGTTACCTTTTTGACAGTATGAAACTGAGAACAAAAGCCCACCGTTCACACAATAAACAGACATTTACATCAGCACCAAGAAATAAACGGTTCAAGAGAATAAGACTAGAAGGGTACCAATGACAAATAACAGCATCATTAACTACACTGTGAATTTTCATCCCCAAATTATTTTTATTTTCACGAGTGAGATCTCTTGAAACATCCTTTATCAATGAACCAAACCATAAACAGTACCATTTCTTGCATATTAGATTAGATTGGCTTATTCTTATAAAACAGTTTGTCCTAGATCCTGTTGGCATGAGAAAATATCTGTTTATGTTTGTATCCTGAGGCAAGAGCRAAAAACCCAAAGATTTATCCTGTTCTGTGCAGAGGCTGCAAGTTCCCTGGGACAGGCAACAGCCCCACGGTCTGGTGCTGCTCACACACTGCAACAGAACTGAGTTTCCTGTTTCTCACCTTCAAGTTGTGGGTGCACGTGTAATCTGTTGGATGGCTCGTTTTTAGGTTAGCACATCACTGGGAAACTCTTGGGATTGCAGCTGTAAGCTCAATGTGTTGCCATATTGACACAGATTTCAGAAACACTAGTCACAAGTGAAGAAATTCGAGTAGCACATAAAAATAATGTAACAGGTTAATGGGACTGATCCTCAGAGCACAAACCCAAAGATTGCACAGACTCACTTGGTCCTCAGATAAAACAACCAAAACCAATTCTGAGCAAAGAACAAATTAAACATGGAATCACATCAGGATGTGCCACATACCAACTATCCAGAACAAAATTCTACTCATTTTGACCAAGGTGGACAGGCCACTTATACTTAACCCAGAAAAGGAACATATGTAAATGATATGTGCTCAAGAAACAGTAAATACAAGCCATTATAAGCCAGCTGCAGACAAAATAATTGAAAATTTAGCCAATAATTTAACCATGCTGTTAGAACATCCTTGGGACGATGATAAACCCTCAAATGTGTGTTTAAATGCACATTGAGAGGAAACCAAAAACACCTGCAGSCAAACATATCACACTCCTAAGCTTCTGAATTCCTGAGAGTCAGCAATGCAGCTGCATCAGCCAGAATGTGATGTTTCACCAGAGAGGACTCCAACTCACAGTTGTGTCTAAATTCTGTCTTTTTTGCCCATTTTCCTCACATCATCTCCCACGACAGCCAATACAAAGCTAGGTGTTTCACCATGCTAAGTAGGAGAAAGATTGAAACACGTGGATGGGGTGGGAAGGGGAGTCACCATGCACTACAACAACAACAATGGATGTTTTAAAGATGCATGCAAAAAAAAAAAAAAAAAAAAAAAAAAAAAAAAAATCACAGGAAAATCATTAAATTACTATATTTTGAAGATTGATGCAAGTAAGATTAAGAAATAATGCCACAGTTCCAATTAACATAATTCTCCATAAACTGTTTCTAAAAACAAAGATATTAGTCTAATGACTGACATCTTATAATTTCTACAGTCAAGTTTTCATAGCACAATACATTTTAACAAAGGTGGCTCACTGAAATTGCAGTACCGAAAGTCCCACAATTTTCAAAACCCCATGTTTTGAGCAGCTGTTCAGAAACCATAGGAACTGCTTATAGGGAGATTTTTTCAGGACCAATGCACACAGCACTCATTACCTGCAGGTAGAATAGCTCATTTGCAATTATGCTACAATGCATTTAAGAAAACAGCCTTACCTTTAATTACAGTATTTAAAAGGTGAAGAAGAGCCACATGCCTTAAGTGCCCTTGATGTCTAATGCAACTTTCTTACATTGGAGGTACTTAATTTTACAAATGAAAATTGACTTTTTCGTTAGCACAAAATTYGCCTTCTTCTGAAGAAAGTACAATTTTGCTTATATATAAATCATAGGTGGGGAAGTTCTATCAAATCAAAGGGGTACTTTTATTCTTCCTGAGGAACATGCCACAAAACAAACTACATGAAACTTGTGTGAGAAAGAATAAGCTATGATTTACTTTGGCTTTGAATTCAGGGATGGGAAGGTGCTGTAATTCGCAGGCAGCTTTGCAAACCTTCTCTCTGCATAGATCATTGCCTGTTTTCCTACTTTTACCTTTGTTCTCATGAAAAGAGACAGAAGTACAGCTCTACTCCAGAGCTTAAAAAAACTCCCCGAGGAGCTCCTGCAAAGCAGGAACAGCCATGTGGACAGCCCTGTGAGACACATCAGCACTTTGGAATGAGTTGCAATGATGTAAAGCTACCTGAACAACTCCTCCAACCCTGGTCTTACACTGCTTTTCTTTGTTTGCACTTCTCTCTMTATATAATGACATTGGCACAGTAATTTTAACCGATTTAAAATTTTCTCATAAAATATTTCTGCCAAATTGAGTGGTTTTTTTCAAATGCATGAGGAAAGTGAGTGTCAGGGAGATACAGTTGAAATAGTTACCTGGACAGCACAGTGACGCTGGGAGAGATCTTTGAGAAGTTGGGAGCTCATTGGATAAGATGGATTTTAGGCACTGGATAGRAAAAGTAAATAGATGCACACTGGGGAGAGTGAGAGTTCCCTGCTACAATGCTGCTTCAATGCTTTTTATGCTAAAGGTTCCCTGAGTTTCGGTTCAGTCGAGAGATCTCCTACAGCTGGGGTAGCACACAGCATCCAATAATTTGAGATCATTAGGCAAAACACTGAAATTAGGAGTCTTCCACCCATATTCTCTTTCTATGATGAAACAGCTGAATTTGGGTTTGGACCAGATGACCTCCCAAGGCCCCTTTCCACCCCAACTGCTCCATGATACTGTCCATTCCTACCAGCTGTGTGTGATCTCTCTCTTAAAAGTGACAAATGCAACCATGTCTGCCCCACAAGGAAAGCCTGTTCCAAGGAACAACAGAGGATAAAGACACTCCATGCTATGGAATTACTTCCATAAAACAAATTACTAAAACGTGCTTTTCCTTCGTTTCAGGAAAATTAATCAGTGGACATGGGAAAGGAGAGATGAAAGTCAGGAACACTACAGCCTCTCGTGTTGTCTCCTGGACATCTCTTGATGGTCTGTCACAGGCAAGCTACAGACAGATTTCGATGAACCTGTCAGTGACTGAGTGGAGCAGTTTTTCTGTTTGGTGCACTTGTGTAACTTCTCATTTTGTCATTCCCTTCCTGATCTCACAGGGCAAGCAGGAAGCAAGGCGAGACAAGGGGAAAGGCACAATAGGACAGGGCTGACAAAAGAAGGAAGGAGGCAGGATTTCTGTTCAATGAAAACCACCATCAGTGAGAGTTCCCGTGCCTTCACTGCCAGTCTGACTTAAGGGATGGCACTTAACATTGTTGTTTTACCACCATTTAAAGCAGGCTTCTGAGTGACAGTGAGGCAGCATCAGGAGCATCAAAATGACCCAAAGGTACTTAATTAAAGGATGGTCACCCTTCTGAAGAGTTTGTGAGTTCCTAGAGGGTGTGGGCATTGCTTTCCACACTGGTGCCACGGCTGCAGCATGGGCACAGTGACACCCTGTAGCGGGTGGCACTAGGAGCATTTCAAGTAGGACAGCTTCATATCCAGAATGTGTGACCATGACTGACCTTTTCAACTGGATATTCAAAGGAATGTGAGAGCAACCTTCATGAGGCATCACCAGAAAAGTGGCAGAAGTCAGAAACCTTAACTGTTTGTTTTGTGGCGCCTAATGGTGGTTGAATACACACACACTAGCCTCCTCCCTGTAATGGTGATACAGGAGACTGGGCTGAGGTTTCCATTCAATCCCGCGCCTACAGGAATTGTGASACCTCCCAGACGCCATCCTTTCTTGGCAACACGTGATTAAAAACGCTCAGTACATCCTAAAAGTCAGGCAGGGGAGGAAAGCGCAGGGCCCCACCCCGGCTCACCCAGAGCAGCCACGCCCGCCGCGGGCGGAGGCGGCCCCGGCCCCGGTCCCGTGTGGAGGCGGACCCGCGCCCTTCTCGGCTCCTTTCACTTTCGTTTCCGTTTCCGCGGCTTTCCCGGGCGGGGCTCCCGGCGGTGATGGCGCTGGCGATCCAAGCCCTGCGGCTGCTGTGCTCCAGCGGCGGCTCCCTGGAGCAGGCTGAGCTGCAGCGGCGGCTGCCGGGCCGGCCCTCGGCCGAGCAATTGGCGGCCGTGCTGCGGGACCCGCGGCGCTTCACGCTGGTGCGGCGGCCCGGCCAGGCGGCCCAGGCCCAGGCCGAGGTGGCCGTGGTGGTGGCCACCAGCCCCGTGCGGCTGTGCCCGGAGCACGGAGCGGGCTGCCCGGGCCGCTGCGGGCGGCTGCACCTCTGCAAGTACCACCTGAAGGGCTTCTGCCGCAACCAGCAGGCCAGGTGAGGGGCGGGGGCCAACGGGGGGCTCGGTGTGTCCCTTCGGGGGAAGGAGTCCTCAGGAAAGGCACTGCAGCCCTTTCCGCGTCGGAAACACTCATTGCCCGATTCCCTCTGTTTCTCTGTATGTACTGCAAAGGAGGCAGACGCAGGCGGTGTTTTTTTTGGGTCGCAGCACTTCCTCCTCCCCAGCTCATCACCCCGGCGCTTCCCTCCCACAGGGCCGTGCCAGGGGCAAAGCCGAGTGTCCCTGCCCGGCCCTGCTTTGGGAATTGGGAATGGGCTAAAGYCGAGTGYCCCYGCMCGGCCCTGSYTGWGGGATTTGGGAATTGGGAATGTGCTAAAGCTGAATGTCTCCGCACAGCCCTGGCTGTGGAATTGGCAATGGGCTCGTTGGCTTAGAGGGAGTGATGCTCCAGAGATTTGGTGTTTCCGTGGTTGTGAGCTGCAGGTTGAAAATGCCAATATTGTCAGACTGCACTAATGCTCTGAATCAGTAGTGTGGCAATTATCGTTGGAGTAATTATGTCATCTGTTTTGCAAATCACATAATGGCTTCTTAGTGGAGCAATGGGGATTTTTGTGAAACAAGATAATTTGGTGTGCTTTTTTTCAACTATTTAGTGTAATGCCCATGGGGTAGCAAAATAGTGCTGATCTGTTAACACTCATTTTGCTCTTGGGTTTCTTGAGTTACAGGAAGGAATGCAAGTTTGTTCACAACTTCCACTCAGACCACAATCTCCATGTTCTAAAGCAATATGGACTTGAGAATTTAAATGGTGATGAACTTTGCCAGCTTCTGCTTCAAAATGACCCTTCTCTCTTACCGGAGGTGAGTGTTACTGTGACGGTTTCATAGCATGGTGTTTCAGTGAGCATCACGAAGTGGAAGAGGCTTGGTAAAGATGGACGTGTTGGGTGTCAACTGGGTTAGCTTAATGCAAATCTAAAACTAAAGCTGCATCCTCTGTTCTTGCCTGTGGTGGGTTTACCTTGGCTGGCAGCTGAACTCTTGAACAGTCCCTCACCCACTGCTCAGTCCCTGTCACAAGCAGGAGAGGTGAGAGTTAACAGGAAGAGCAGAAATGGGAAAACTTTTGAATGAAGATAAAGATAGTAGTGAGTAGAGGAAAGGAGGGAGAAAACAAGTCTTGCAAAGGAACACTTCTGCTTCACCACCTCAAAGCAGACTGATGCATGACAAGTCTCTGAACAAAGGCTACCTTGTAAGAAGGACCCTTCTCCCCCTTTCTCCTTCTCTCTGTCCCCTTTTCCCCTATWTTTTTTAATTTTTGGAGAATGACATTAATGTGGCACGGAATATCCCTTTGGCCAGTTTGGACTATTTCCTAGTTTTGGCTGGAATAGAGTTAACTTTCTCTCTAGTAGCTGGTACAATGCTGTGTTTTGGATTCAGGATGAGAATAATGTTGATAATACAGTCATGTTTCAGTTTTTGCTGAGCAGTGCTTGCTCTAATTCAAGGACTTTTCAGCTTTTCTTACTGCCCTGCCAGCCAGACTGGGGGAGTGCACAAGAAGCTGGGAGTGGATGCAAGCCAGGACATCTGACCCAAACAGACCAAAAGGATATGTTATCAACACTGTTTTGGTCACAAACCCAAAACATAATGTGGTATGGTCTGCTGTGAAGAAATTTAACTCCATCCCAGCCAGATCCAGTACCTCTTACCATCAATTTCAGGTCAAAAAATTCACTTTCCAAAACTAGAAAATTAAAGAGATGTGACTTAGCACTAAATCCCATCTGTTGAAAATGTCAGTAGGAATGTTGTGTCTTGAAAGATCTTTCTAAACATCAGTAGAGCAAAGGAAAAGCTATCAAGTAATTGTTTGGAAAACAAGAAGAAAGAAGAAATGTATCTTTTAAAACAAATGTATGCACATACCCATAAAAAATTAAAAATCGTGGATTCAAACAGTCTGATGAGCACATTGTACTTTAATCTTTAAATTCTTTTTTTTCTTCTCCTACCCAAGGTCTGCTTGCATTATAACAAAGGTGATGGACTTCATGGATCTTGTACCTTTAAAACATCCTGCACCAAACTGCATATTTGCCAGTATTTTTTGTGGGGTCAGTGCAGATTTGGCAGCGGTTGCAAACGGTCCCATGACTTATTAAATCCAGAATGTTTTGAGAAACTGGAGAGACAGGGAGTGAGCTCAGAAAATATTAAGAAACTACCTTCCATTTATAGAAACATGTATGACATAAAAAATGGCAACAGGAGCATGTATGATGTAGAAGATGCCAAGTCTTCACCATGCAAAGGTAAATACCTTTTGAAAACATCAGAAGATGTTCACAAACAGCATTATACTAGTTATTTCTTAGAGGTGTAATATTTTGTTTGCACTTTTCTTTTGAAGTTCTTTAGAATTGTAAGTTAAGTATAATTCAGTAGCAAAAAAAAGGATAACAGAATGGAGAATCCAAGTATGGATGTTCATCTCCACTGTTCTGTCTACAGTTCCTTCTTCTCATCTTTTTTTCCTTAATCTGCTTTAATTTAAAGAAGATTTTGAAACTTCATATTTTTTAGCTGCCAGTGTGATCAGCTGTGTGGAATGCACAGTTAAAACTCAAGTCCATCTGGAAGTGTAAAGGCGTTGGATTCTATTCTCATTTTACTGTGATAACTAAAAACTGTATCTGAGGAATTCAGCAGTTACAGCAAAGTCAAGTTCCGAAAAGATGGGTACAGGGATGGGACTCTGAGTCCCTTGTACAACCTGTACAAAGTTATCAAAGGCTTCAATATCTTTTTGGAGCTGAGTACTGTTCCACAGATAAAAACATTGGCTTGAGGCATCTTGCCTAGGGATAGGAACACTATTAAGAGGGCTTGTTGATACAAAGTAGATAAATAATTCTTATAATTCCCCCCCCCTAGACAGAAAACCCAGCTCTAGCCGGGAATCCTCAACTGCAAACGATGATGAATCAGAGCAGATATGTTTACATCATCTCTACAGAAGCTGTGGCTTTAAAGGTAGGTTGTATCAGTATCAGTACAGACTGCATCAAGTCCAGTCTATTTTTCTGTTCTTATGGAGAGGAAGTGGTAGACATCTTTCATAGAAAGGGGAAACTTCAGAGTTTATGCTTATCTTTAGTTAAATCTCACTGCTGTCTTAAGTGCTGTAGGAAATTGTTTGACTTGGTACACCAAACAAAGGGGCTGTTTGGTTTTGCTCTGGAATCTGCCTGTGTTGAAGATTGGCCCCTCCACCTGTGTTTGCCTAAGAGATTGCTGAATTATAGGTGTCACATGTCCAAACAGGGAAGGTATGAAAGACACTCTGAATTCTACATTCTCCACTGTTTCTTGTAGTATTCTTCCATTCCATCTGTCTTAGCTGTCTCCCTTTCAGAATGTTCCAAGGTATCCAGGAAAAAGGCCGCTGTGCCAGCTTTCTTGTTGATTTTTTGTCATCCTTTTTCTTCTTGATGTTCTTGGCCTGTGGTAGCTCCCTGAAGTACTGCACACCTTCTCATGAACTGTGTGGTGCACTTTCTCCTTGACTTTCCCTGTAGTTAATTTTCCTTTTGTTCTGCTGTGGAAATTCGCCTTGGGTCTATGCACATGTGCACTGTTAGGAGTGACTGCACGCTGACTCTTTGGACTCGGAGTAACACTTGTGACACCTGGGTACGGCTGCCATTGCTTCTGTTCCTCCTGGGGCCTGGGCCTCTTGGAGACTTTCTGAAGGGCAGAGGACTTTGAGACCAAGGGAGTGATATCTGTGTGTSTATCAAAGGAGAGGAAAGGTGATGGTGGTTAACTGGGTTGTGTTGGAAAGCGTGGGACCTAGGAGTGGTGGGACAGAGTGGATTTTCTTTGTAGTAGCCAGTACAGTGTTGTGTTTTGGGTTTAGCATGAGAGTAACATTGATAGCACAAATGTGCTATCAGTGTGCTAAAGCACATTTAGTTGTGGCTAAGTAGTGCTTACCCAAAGTCAAGAACTTTTCAGCTGCCCATGTTGTGCAAACGAGGAGGTGCATAAGAAGCTGGAAGGGAGCATGGCCAGGACAGCTGACCAGAGCTTGCCAAAGGGGTGTTCCGTGCCATTAGAACATCCTGCTCAGCATATAAACTGTGGGGAGGTGGCTGGGAGGGGCTGATTGCTGCTTGAGAATGGGTTGGGCAGAATCAGTGGGTGATGAGCAATCGTCGTGTACATTGCTTGTCTTTCTTAGGCTTTATTCCTCTCTTGCTTTTTGTTATCTTCCTTATAGATAAATGTGAGTATTACACTTACTATGTTTCGCTTTATTTCAGTTACCAAACTGTTCTGATTTCAACCCACAGATGTTACCTTTTTCCTGTTCTCCCCATCTCACTGGGGGAAGTAGGACTGAGTGGCTGTGTTATACTTAGTTACCATTCGAGGTTAAACCATGACAAATGCTCCTGTCCTAAAACTAAGCACTGCTGTGTTGGATTTTTCCTCAGTAATACCACTTTGTGATACAGTGGTTTAGCACAAATACAGTGTTTTTCTATTTATGAAATAATAGCCATGTGTGAACCTGTGATCTCAATTCATTTTGTGTCTCTGAAACTGAAAAGACAGAACTGTCTGTGCAACTTTAATGTGCAAAGAGAGTTTAGTAGGTTCAGAAACGGAACTTCTACCTAAGCCCAACAATTAAGTGTTGCTTGTTTATGCTGAAAAATTCTGAACTACTGTTTGTAATGGTCCTGTAGGTGAACACTTTCCATAACTATCCTTTTGATTATTTTACCAGCTAGGTGTGCAGCCCTGAAATGTTGKAGTTCTCTCTTAGCCTGTCAAAATAATGCATGTCTTAATTCTTTTTTTTAAACTTTTACAGAAAAGTGTATCAGAACTCATTTTCACTTGCCATATAGATGGCAGGTCTCTGATGGCAATACCTGGAAGGACTTAAAGAATATGGAACAAATAGAAAAAGCATATTGTGACCCAAAAAAGATGAGGTATGTTTTTTGTAACATACAAAAAACAAAAATAGAAAATGTTTGGAGTTTGCTATAGTATTTGCTGTAGTACCAGGCTCTTAGTGGCTATAAATTGCTACGATTCTACTGCAGTCATTACGTAAGAAGTTTCATTCTTCTACTGAATTGAGTTGGCATGAGATTTGCCCCTCCTTCCCCCTTTTCCCACAGTCCATATTGTGGAACTGGCAGAATGGCTGGAGATAGAGAGAGAGATACTCTTGGATGCAGAGCACATGAAGAATATAGAAATACATTTCAGAGTTTGGAATTGGTTATGTAGCCTGATTAGAGTTTTGGAAGGGGCTCATACCAGTATGCCGTGTCCCATGCTGGAAAATTCACCTGTTCCTCTTACGTTGCAGGCCCTTTGAAGCCCTTCTGACGTTATGTCAGTGTTCTATTTAGAATATGGCTGGTTAGCAAGAAAAAAGCAGTGCCACTGTTTCTGTTCATCTTATCTTCCCTAATTTATGAGTGGGTTATGGTTATTGCACATAGAACCAATGTGAGATGCAATACTGCAATGCAAAATAGGTACAAACACAGACCAGAGCTGTGTGGTTTCATGGTTGTGGAAAGTGCAGCTCTGTGTTCTGCTTTTGGGTGATGTTGACTTGATTTGCAAATTTGGAGTTGTCTTCTGAACCTACGAGTAAAGCTTCACCAACAGTTCTGACTTCTTTTCTGCCTTTTTTTTCATAGGTTTGATTGTTTTACTGAAAGTGGCACTCCCGTGTCTGTCCATTTTGATGTCATGTACTCTGACTTGGGAGCAGTCAGACGCCTTTCTACAGCCTCCTCTGTGACCAAACCCCCTCACTTCATTCTTACAACAGAATGGGTCTGGTACTGGAGAGATGAATATGGCATGTGGCAGGAGTACGGCAAACGAGTGAGTGTGGACAAATGGGGAGACTCAGCCCTGTGTGAGAAGTGCAAAACTACTGGAAAGTTCAGTGTTTATATCCTCCCCTTTTTTGTCACCCTCTTCCTCTCACCCACGTGGACATTAAAGGCCTAATGGGGTCTTTTCCATGTGATTTTGATTGGTTCAGGTGAGGGACTGATGACTGGTGAGTCACAAATATGATCAACAGAGAAGTATTCAGTGAGTTGTGTCAGATAGGATCACAGTAATGCATTCTTTTCATTGCTCCTGAGTAAAGCCTTCTTCTTTGAAGTTCCTCTGCATCTTTGTTGTTCTAGTGGTGAATATGTGGTCTGTTGTGGTTTCAGCTGGGATGGGGTTCATTTACTCACTGATAGCTGGCACAGAGCTGTGTTTAGATTTGGTATGAGAATAACATGGATAAAACAGTGATGTTTTAGTTGTTGCTAAGTGGTGCTCACTCTAAACCAAGGATTTCTTATATGCTGATATGTCCTGCAGCCACCATACATACAAGAGTTGTTGGTTTTTAAACTTGTCTATAACTGACCAGGAGAACCTTTTTTTCCTCTGTTTTTGGCCTGACAGGATTGTGTTCATGAAGCTGCTACTGTCTCCAGTGAGGACCTGGAAAAAGCTTATTTGGCCAAAAGTTCTCCAAAGCTGAACTTCAAAGCTGGAAGACAAGAATATGAACTAAATTTTTACTGTAGGTTGCATTTGCTTTGTTCTTTCATTTTGTCCCTCCCTCCCAGGTCTCTTGTGGTTTTAAATTACCTGATTACAGGAGATAGAAGAGAGAAATTTGGAGTTTGAATTGCAATGCTTACAGAGACAGAGCTTCTATCAGAGTTCTCAGGATAAGAGCTGTTCACATAAGCAGAATGGCATTTTATTCCTTCAAAGCTTTTATTTTTGAGAGGCTCTTGTGCGAGTTTTCAAAATGTTTGCCACCAAGTCCAGGTATGACACTGATGCTGGCACCAACACAAATGGTGAGGAACTTCCAGAAGACTTGATAAGACATCTTCTGTCTTCATTCACTGGTTTGCAKAAAAATAAATACTTGGACCAGGTGTAGGGTCCAGACAATCCTTACCATTGCAAGATTTTTGCAGATATTTTCTATTAATCCTGTTTGGAAAGGACAAAGTAGGAAGGAGTGTTTCTCAGGAGTTAGGAAATGTAAGCCACTTGTGATGGCTCTGTTCTCTCTGAGTTGTTGCCTTTCCTGGTATCCTTTTCAAAAATTACGGAGAGCAGTGRTGTGAATCAGTCTCCCTAGATTATCAGTTTGGTGTAGTTGTCTTTGATCCAACTCTCCATTACCATCTCATTCTGCATGAAAAAAAGCCAAACAAAAAACTCAAATGAAAAAAGCAGAAAAGGCATGTTATCTGCTGTTTGTGATTTAGTCAGAAAGCAATGCTGGGAAAACTTGCCTGGCTTAGAAGCAAAAATTGCGTAGTAAATCAATCCCTTTTCTAAACTTCGGGCTTTTTTAGTAACTTCAGCAAATACATGCAGTGTAGATGTCTTCCAAAACTGAGTTTCTAGGCTTGGTGGTGCCAAGAGGTTTTTTTGTTTGTTCATTTTCCTGTGTATCTCTCTCTGAAGATGAGGCCTCATTATCCTGACTCTTAATTATTAGTATGATGTCACAGTAGCTGCAGAGGTTCCAAGATCCAGAAGAAATGCCTCTAAAACTCAGGTTGCTGTGACTTTTTTCTGTCGGTGATCAATAAAAATTAATGATCTGTGATAGGTGTTAGGTTCTGTTCACAGGGTTTGAAATCTGCAACTAAATGCAGCAAAAAAGTACYTCGATTGCAAATTGAAGAGGAGGGAGCCTTTTTGCAAATGTTTTTGACAAAACAACTTAGTGACAAATGTGGCTGCAGTGTGAAGGCTTTCTAAAGCATCTTTGATGGTTCATGGGCTTTTGTTTTGTTTTTTCCCAGCCATGGTTCAGACAAATGTTTGCTATGGAACACAGAGATGGATTTCCAGAAGACCTAAATTTGTCTCTCAGGCAGATGTAGAAAAGACAAGAGCCAGGTAAACTGCAACTGCTCTGAGGTGATGGGTTTAGTGCACTGTGAATGCTGCATCTTCCATGGGTGCAAGCAGGGTGAAAAAGTAGCTGTTAGGCAGTTGGGAAAGGACCATACCTGTCCTGCAGCCATGTCTAGCCAGGCCAGGCAGTGTTGCAGCCTGCCCAGCAGTTTTCAATCAGCTCAGGAACTTTGCTGGTGAAGAAAATTCAGGCTTGGCCACAGGAAGTATGGAAATCTTGGAAATGATTCAACGTGTAGCAGTGTTGGAGGGAGCTGCTGATTTGAACAGCTAATACAGATGGAATAAATAATGGTTATGTGTACTAGATCTTTCTGAGATGAACAATTTTCAAAGCTAAGTACAAATTTGGAAAAAAAATTTTTGAGAGCARTCAGACAACCTGAAAGGAATGCGGTAGATGTTACAGGTAGAGCAAGAAGTGGAAGTCTGCAAGGAGAGACAATTGCATGTAATAGCCAATTTTTGCACATCCCCTTGCAGCACACAGTGCTTACTTAAACAACACTGAAAAGAGCAGATAAACACACTAATTAAAATTGGGCTGGAATTAGAGGGGAGGACTGTATCTATCCTGTTTCTGTCATACATACGTGATAACGCATTTGTATTTGCCTACCCTAGTATAGCAGAGCTTCTATATATATCATCATTCAATTCTGCAAGAGAAATCCTTACATGTTTAGTTCAGTGTATATCTTTCTTTTTTCTCATTTGGCATATTGCTTCCTGACAAAAGTCTTGACATGATGACTTGGAACAAATATTTTCGTGTGCTGAGCTGAAATGACAGTTTTGAAATATTTTTGAATATGTTCAGTTGCCTGTATACTCCCTAAGCTTGACTAAAGTGTTTAGTATAATATATACATAAAATGTCATATTTGGTTTTATTTTAATTCTCTATTTTTAATGTCTTATAATCAACAGGGGCATTAAACATACAGATGAGTTAAAGGGCATTCCAGCTCACTGGGACAAATCTGCTCTGCCTGAACTGGGATTCAAGGTTTGGAGCATTTTGTTTTTCTTTCTGTCAGTTTTGTCACCTTTCTGTAAGGTTTGTTCCATCACAAGTGTTTCTTCTGCTTTTGTAAATGACTGTTTCTATGTAGCATAATAGAGAGGTTTTGGTAAATTTGAGCTTAATATCACACTGGGCAGACCTGGAGGTGAAACTAGACCCAAATTTAAACAAAAGGGGGGCAGTTAAACTGTGGCAACGTGGACTTTCACTGCTACTATTAGTCCTTTGCCTTGGAAATATTACTGTGTTAACAAGACTGCTACTGGTGCCCAAAATACAGAGTTTTGAAGTCCAAACGTGTTTTGAAGCATGAGAGGTAAATCATGCCTCTGAACTTCAGGGTAGCTGTTCCCTTAGCTGTAGACTCTAGTGTGTCTATGGAGATCTGCTGAAATCAGGAGAGTTCACAAAACCACATGGAGTGGTTGTGTTTGAAGAGGGGAAGACCTCTGGGGATCATAAAAACCAACATCCCTGCTAAAGCAGGTTCACCTAGAGTAGGTCACACAGGGTTGTGTCCAGGTGGGTTTTGAGAATCTCCAGAGAGACTCCACAACCTCTCAGGGCAGCTTATTTAGTATGGGATCTTTTATTATTACGTTTATTATTATTTCATTCACTCCAGTGGAGTAAACCTGTTCACCTTTGTAACACAGCTGATTAATATCTGCATGGTTTACCTTCTCTGTCTGCTTCCACCAGCCCCTCTGTCAACTCTAGCAATTGTACCTACAATTATTAGAAAAGCTGCTGCCTGATGCTCAAAAATCACTAGCTTGCAAAATGCAAATCCTCAAGAAGTTGTCACAAGAAACAGGAAAGACTAACTTTGACATTTTGTATGTTTCTGAGAAAACATGCAAATAAACTTTGCTTGCTTTCAGAACTGCCATGTAAGGAACTGATTTACAGTAGTGTGACCATGCTCTTCCATAAAATTATTGTTCAAATAAAGCCTCTTCATTTCATTTAGAAGCACAACAGGCAGTGCAGTTTGTGTTCACTGTCTGGAGGAGGTATAAATCAAAGAGATCTTCTTTGGTTTTCTGCAATGTAAATTCTCAGTTCCTTTTTTGTTTATGTCATAATTTCTGCTATGTATTTGGACACTGTTTGATCCATGCAAATATAACATTAAGAGGGCACAAAAGCACGCAGCTCCTTTATTGTCCTATGAGAGAGCAACCTGGCTTCCATAAAGATGAGATGTTAACATATCCTAGACTAGAGCTCAGTTTTACAGAGTGGGGATCTTTACTCTCCATTTTTACCTAGATTATTTTCACAGCTCATACCTCTGCCTCACAGAAAAGACTTTAAAAGTCTGAGTAGCACACTAGGTAGGATGGCTTTGTTACGATTTAGTAAAAGATGAGAGTGGCTTTTCAAACTTTCCCTTGCAGCTGATTGAGCTTGACTGTTCCTCTGAAGAATACAAGAAAGTCACAGTGGACTTTAAACGCACCATGCCCAAGGCAGCTATTAAAAGGATTTGTAGAATTCAGAACCGGTCCCTCTGGGAGCTGTATCAATGGTATGTGTCAAACACTGCTCTGGTATGTTTGCATGATATTTATTGTGTCTGCAATTTGCTGTATGCTAAAGATAGACCCACACATTCCTGAAATGTCTCTGCTTCTCCTCTCCCTCTGAAATACCTGCCTAGTGCCAACATTTAGATAAAGAGGTATCAGCAAACCCAAAACTCAGTCAAGACACAGAGCTTATAATAATCAGATTCAGAGGTATGTGGGAGGAATCCTTGCTCCTGATTTCTGCCAGACCTGTGTCTATGAGAGCTGCCTTCAAGTGAAGCCTTGAGGCTGGTAATCAGTCACATCTAGCACGGTGTTTTGCAGTTGGTCAAAACKGAAACAGCTTTCAAAATGAACTGCAAAACTCACGGAGGGCAAGCCTTAATCTGAGCTCCCATTTTCAGAGTAAAAAAATAATGCTGAGATTCCTCCCTCTCTCTTCAAAGGCAGTGAATGAAAGAAAATATTTGCAGTAAAGCATTTGTGTATGAAAGCATACTTGTGTGCATCTAGACAGCAAAGTTTGTATGCCCAAATTAGGCCTTGCTGTAAGGATWTTCAGAATATGCTGTGTAAAATAGTTTGTGAGTGTCTATATGGACTGCCACAGAAGAACTTCAAAGATTCTGCTTCTCATTGCAGGCAGAAGGACCTAATGCAGAAGAGCAATGGTGGAAAGGCTGCAGATGAACGATTTTTATTCCATGGGACCAGTAAAAAGGACATTGAGGCCATCTGTCAGCAAAACTTTGACTGGAGAATCTGTGGCCTTCACGGAACAGTCTATGGCAAAGGTTGTTTTTCAGATCTTTCAGTAATCCTAGAGTTGCTAAAAATTTCYCAGTACTCACTACAGAGGTGTGAAGTTTAAAAAATGGTACTTGGCCAGTTCTGGGCTTTGCTCTGTCATGATGTGGGCAACAGAGCTGAGTTTCATGAGGGTCATTTGTAGCTAAGACACTCTGAAAGGCCTTGGCCTCTGTTCCACCCACTCCTTGCAAGAAAAGACACTTAGGACAGGGATGGTTTCTGCTAGACTCCAGGCTTTACTGCTGTTCCAGTTTCTCCAAACTCCTACAGGAAAACAATCTGGCTCTTTTTGTGTTTTTTTTTTTTCTTTTCCCCCAGGAATCTAAATGCCATTGTGGTTACAGGCTTTTGTGCCTTGTTAGCAAATTATATCCTTTTACATAGTCCCGTGCCCAGAAAATTGCCAGCACACCAAGTGGAATAGCTGAGACGGGCTGACTGTCCACCTTTCTGACTCAATACTTTGTAACTCTTAGAAAAGTTAAGGAATCAGAATGTTTTGTGTTGGAAGGAGTCCACAAGGATCATTAAGTCCAACCCTTAAGGGAATGGCTCATACAGGGATTGAACCCAGAGCTGTGCTGTTGAATATTAGTAGCCTCTGATGGGAGGGGAAATTCAGTGATACTGTGGAGGGTGACATCTAGGGTCAGGAGGAAATCCTTTAGAGGAACATGATAGCATTTACAACATTGCTTGGATGGCATTTTAATGTATGCTGGGAAAACTAAAAAGGGTAGGTAATTCTTAGTAATCATTTTTACTGAGAGGGACACACAGGACAAGTGAAGGCTTTGGAAAGGCTGTGCATGAACTGCTTAATGGATTTGTTTATTAATTCATTTTCACAGTATCATTTTGTTCCTGCAGTTTTGATGTCTTACCAACTCTGTTTTGGTGTCTCTTCTGCAGGAAGTTATTTTGCAAGGGATGCATCATATTCTGACAAGTACTGTGGGGCAGACTCACACACCAAGACCATGTTTCTGGCACGAGTGCTGGTGGGGGAGTTCACTTGTGGCAGCTCTCATTATGTTCGGCCTCCAATGAAGGACAGCCAAAACTTCTACGACAGTTGTGTGAATGACTCTTTGAACCCTTCCATCTTCGTCATCTTTGAGAAGCAGCAGATTTATCCAGAGTATCTTATAGAATACCAGGCACCAACAGGATTTCTATAGCAGCAGAACCTGTCATCATTATATTGAACCAGTTTAAACATTTTTTAGCCTTGGCTTAAGAGAGAAAAATTGATTTTGGAGAAGCTGTGTGATCAGGTAGATGAGTGCTCAAAAACATTCATTCTCTGTCCTTTCTGCACAACAGAAAACAAGGCATTAAAAGATGTAGAGGATACTTTAGAATTCCTAAAATCCTGTGCCTGCTTCCTATTTTTAGCAGCTTTCACATTTCCCTACATTATGAGAGCCTTTCATAACTTCATGAGAAAAAAATTGCTGATGGTTGTAGCATGAGGATTGGCCATAACTGCCAAGTTTAAATGCTTCAGGATAGTGTTTCAGATCATTGGTCAGAGGCTCTGTCCCTCTACATGTTTATCTTTTTAACTCAAAACTGGATAAAACACGTACTTTTAGTAATCTGTCTCCTGTAACAGTAGACATTCAGGTGTTTGCAAATGTGTTTGTACAATCTCTGTGCTCAACTCAGTGCATAAATTCTTAGCAGCACTCTTCTTTTTTGTCCCTACTTCATCTGCACCAACAAAATCTCAAAAATTAAACTTGCTTGTTGAAAAAGAGCAGAGACTTACTTTCCCTTGTTAATTTTCTCATTTAAAACAAGTACCAAAGAGTTAAAGATAACAAGGGTTGCTTGGTGCTGCGTGACTTGGTTGATTTGCTCCAGCAGATAAAAGCTGTGAGAACACAAGTTTTCCATGACTTTCACCATGCCTACAAATGAAAAAGTGCTGGCAGGTGCTGTGGAGGAAGCAGAGCAGGCAACTCATGCTGGTATTTAATACCATACTTAGGAGTGAAATACACTGCTTGTCCTGCTTGATTGTCAGTCCCTTGTTTCTGTGGATGAACGTTATGGTTCCCTTACAGCTCTTGGGAAGGATGACCAGCTCTCATTAGGTGTACTGCCTTTTTGGTTGCAGGAGGTTCACAGGTTTCCTGCATAATCAATCAAGGTTTCAGGAAAAATATCCTTACCTGGGAAGTGGTCTTCAGCCACAGAGCTGAAACTTTTAAAATGTGAAGATTAGGTTGAATATTTAATTGTTCCCAGCAGAAGAAGATAGTGTTGAATAGTCAGCAGACGTGAGCAATCAAAAAACTTGAGTTTTCAAWTTTTTTTTTAAGATTAAAGTTGCTGATGCATACATAGATACTTTATCATAGATTTAATGTGCTAAATTAGCTACAAGTTAGCTATAGTGTACTGCAGAAGCCTTAAGACTTTCTATATGACCTAAAAAAACCTAATTTCTAGCTGTATTCTGGGACTACTTTTTAATTCATCTGCATGATTGACAGGTGTACACTGGGTAACTCCTTGTAACTTAAGCACTGTGAGCCAGGAGCTTGGCCCTGATCAGCTGGAGTAAGGCTGTGCAGACTCCTTTTTATGTGAACTGCAAAACTAGCAGCATGATAACTAAAGGAAAATACTCCTATTTGTGTTTAATCTCAATAAAACACAGGATAGGGGAAGGCACATTGACTGCATTGTTTCTTTTGAAAGATTTGTAATAGAATATAAATTATAAATCCCATGTCAGCAAATGAGTTTGTCAGCARATAGTACATTCATTGAGGAGGATAACATTTATGTAGGAAAGCTTTCCTACCTGTGCAGAATAAGGTTTTTCTGCCAAAACAAAAAACCATCATCATCTACATTTTAATGGCAAATGGGAATTCTGGTACTATGCCTTTCTTCCTGCGAACATAACCAGAATTTCAGGTAAGAACTRGAATAGCTAAAGTCACGTTAATTTTTTGCCAGAAAATTGAAACAAAACATTCCTTTTCATGCAAAAAGTTGAGATATTTTTTACTGATTTTTTTATTGTATTTTTAAAACCTTTAACTTGATTCTTGGAGAGGATGTATATATGCTTGTGTGTGTATGAGTGAAGTAAAACAGCAAATAAAATGCCTGGTTATAGTACTCTGTCATGTGTTATTTCTCCATTMTCACAGCAAAAGAAAAATTGCCATGTTTTCTACTTTGGAAACTGCAGGGGTAGCTTTCTTGCGTGTAGYAAATAAACAGGTATTCAAACCACTACCTCCTGATGATTTTCTGTCTTTCAATACTGAAAGTACAGTGTTTCCATACACTTGTGAGTTTCTGGAAGCTCTTGGAGGTTATTGTTCAGTAGTAGGAGTCCCTCTACAGCTCTTTGGGTGGCATTTGGAAATGAACAGCTTAAAGAGATGTTTACATTAAATCCAAACTTTAGACAAAAAGTAATATCGAACCTCCTTTCTGAGCGAGGAGGATCTCTTTTGACTACTTAAGCAACTGAGCAGGAAGAGTGCAGTAATCTGTCACTCACTCCTACGCCCTGTGAGGAGAAAGATAAGCTGTGAAGGTTGTTTCCTTTTTCGGTAGCAGGTCCATCCTGGCAAGACAGATGGCAAAGCCAGCAGAAGGCAAACAGTTTTGTTGTGCCAGCAGTGGGGTTGGAGCRCGCTGGTTTGTGACCCCTGATCCCCCACCTGCTGGCTGTGAAGGGGGCTGGCAGTCAGCCAGAGTCAATACTCTGCACCTTTTCAGGAGGGTTACATGTAGCCAGGTTTGTTTGATATTCTGACTCGATTTTATGAGACGTGGGTGTCCAAATCCTGTCTGAGTGTTGGCAGCAAAGCAGTGGCAGTGTCTGGTTTGGATACCTGCAGCCTGGCAAAGCAGGGGYTGGTGGCTGAGAGGAACTTGGGTGGGTGGCAGGTACCAGTTGCTGTGGTGTGCTCAACCCGTGCTGCCCGGGCTTGGAGAAGGAGTTTTGCCTCTAGGAACCACTGCAGTTTAATGCCAGGTAGGAATAGATAGTTCGAATTTGCAATCCATGAAGCATAATAATTTCTGACACCTAACTCCGTTTTTCTAGAACTACTATTTATAAAGTACAAAACTGTAAAGCCTTTTTTTCTATCAGCAGCTTCATTAAAAATACCATTTAATACCGACAGCTTTCTGTCATCATTACAAAGACCTGAAGACATGTTTAATAGAAGCTTCCCTTTATCAAGCAGCCTTTGACTTCGTATCAGCTGTYAGAGAATGACTAAAACCCTTTTGTAACATAAACATGCCCAATTTTAAACAAACTCACAACTCAGCAATGCAAAACAGCACACTTGCTGTTTCTGAGGAGAGAATCATTTAACCCCTCTGCCTGCCTCACCATGCTCGCCACCTAGCTCCGGGGCCTGGAGCAGCTCCTCTCCTGCGTTAGCTTAACCCAGCTCCGGCCCAGCAGGGAATCGAACCCCGGTCACCTGCATGTCTAAGCAGGGATACTCACCACTACACAAAGCGAGCAGGTCTTATGGAGACCTCACTTTTGGCCGTGTTACTGTCTACTCATCTCCGGCCCGGCAGGGAATCGAACCCCGGTCGCCCGCATGCTAAGCGGGGACACACACCACTACACAAAGTGTGCAGGTGTTATGCATGGCTCGCTTTTGACCAGTGTTCTAAACTACAAAAGGGGACCTGATGGCGAGTAGAGCGCCACCCTGTGGCCGCGCCGCGTGCCGGCAGGGAGAAGCGCGCCACCCTGTGGCCGCGCCGCGTGCCGGCAGGGAGTCCCCGCGCAGCGCCGCGCATGCGCGGCCGCCATGTCGTGCGCGGCGCGCGCCCGAATTTCCGCGCCAAAACGCGCCACTTTCGGGCGTTTTCGAGCGCCGATTTCGAGCTCGAGGGGGTCGGAGAAGCCGCCCGCGCCCGCTCGGGCGAGCGGAGAGCGGCGCCGGGTGCCCGGCGCCGCGAAAAGGGGTCTCGGTATGCCGCGTCACGGGCGCCGCCATTTTGGGTGCCGCCGGGGAGAGCTGGACGCTACCGCGCGTGCGCGGCCGCCATCTTGCGCGCGGCGCGAGCCCGAATATCGGCGCCAAAACGCGCCCGTTTTGGACGGTTTCAAGCGCCGCTTTCAAGATCGGGGGGGTCTCAGAACCCGCGAGCCCCCGTTCGGGCGA